TCACTACACTTACTGTAACTTTAAAGATAAAGTCTTGCTTGCTCAACTGAACCCTCTGTTTCAAGATGAAATGTTTGTGCCTCTGTTTAAGCTTCCAGTCATGTAATTCACTCATTCTGTCCCGTTTCGGTGACTGCTCATCTTTTTAGATTCTGGAGGTATGGGTGTGAAACATCGAATCCAACGTTCCTGACCCTGCACCAACGCAAGAACATCAACAGATGAAACGGCAAATCTGGAGTAGAGCCACTGAAGCAGAGTTACCACTCCCCCCCCGCCCCAGGTCATTCGTGATTTTCCCAGGGGTCTAGGGCCAGTTGGTCGAGTGACTAGTAGCTGATTCACCCTCCTTTCTGGAAACACTTGCAATACGTGCACAAACCATCGCGGACGTAATTTGTGAATCTGGAAAAGCTGAGGTTGTGAGCCAACGCTGACTCGTGTACGTGAAATCTGGACTCTGTGGGAACGCGTGAACCCAGTGAACTGTCGCAGAAAGTCAATTTCAGCCTCCGTACCCCCGTGCCTTGGATGGCACTTTTCAGCCATGGTCCACTACTCATGACCATAGGTGAGCATGTGAACGAAAATCGACTTCAGCACAGACAGCTTTGGCTTCAGACTCATTTCTGACTCTGCAACACTGGTGCAGGCTAATCAATGCAGAACGCAGCTTGCCATGTCGATATTCCTATTTTCAACAGCAGAAGATACGACGGACCCTGACTTATTTGCTCATCCTCTTATCTCTACACCGTAGCAAGTAAGAGAAGGAGGAAGCGCAACGCTTCGCTCGTTTTCCACCTCAGTTGTTTGCCAGTTTCGAACTTGTACTCGTAGAAAGTAATATTCCATTGGATTCTATAACCACTTTTGCTGCCATGTCTTCGGATGGTGGTCAATCGTTTGCAAAGAAGGAGGCCAACAAAAAGATGGTAGTCGGAAATAATCCATTTCAGAACATCGTAAGTCTGACAATACGATAACTAAATCGATAATCAACTTTTGCACAATACAATACATACAGCAATCATATCCTTCAAGTATAGATGTTTAAAGAAAATGTTTGTAACACATGATCCGTTATGATCCTTCTTGCCACTTTTGTTAAAATCGTTGTCTCCCTTCATTCCAATGACGCCTTTCTAGCTTTTGGTCTCTACTTCGACTTATGCATTGAAGACCCCCATTCATATGGTGGATCCTGTAACCGGCGGTCTTTACAGGACACCTGATCCATCAGCGACGAAGGAACCATATCTTCCATCTGCATGCATGGACCTGTAACAGGGCCATAGGTCTCGTCTGTTTCCATCCAAGTTGGTCGCTTCCGCTGACAGGTCAGCATTCAATGACTCTGTCCGTCGGAATGCATTCTGCCGGCTTGAACGCGATGCATATGTTCAGCACCTGAGTAGACAGCTTCAGGACCTACCTGCAGAGGTTCAGAATTCCAGAGTCAAACTCTACCCGTGAACTAACTCCTGCTCGTTAGTGAGGAACTGTCCCAATTTCGAGTTATGAGTTCCCACTGTCGCGGTCGTTCTCATGGAAGCTTATCAAGCGCGCCATAGTGGCATTGCATGGCCTTCCTCCATCGCTCAGAACCGACTGGTATCTTGACCATCTTCGTGTAGATTGCTCTTTTCTGAAAGAATCAGCATATTATTTGAAATTTTAACATTTTCTCATTTCTCCTTTTTCCTCTGTTGACTGTCATCGACACCCTCGTAACACTGTTTCGTGATCAAGAGGAAAAGGCATCATCTTGCCACTCTGAGTCCGGTGAAGTGAGGTTCCAGGGTCCATTGAGTAGACGCTGTCGCTTGAGAAATTGTCCACTCGTTGGTCAGCAGGAGAGAGTGAGACGGTACTCGGTACTCGGTACTCGTCACCCGACACGACGCTCCCTTCACAAAAAGGCATTAAGGAACGCTAAAAACCATTCTTACTTATGTCACGTTTAAATTCCCACGCCCATAATGCCTCAGTGCCTTTGGGGCACATCGGCGACGATTTCGAGCCATCGAAGCTGTGCATGTCGATGCGTGGTCAGGTTTCGAAACGTGAAATTTCAAAGCGTTCGACTCAAGCGGTTTATCAGCTTTCATGTGGAAAACAAAAACCCACCGCCCATATCCTTATGCGTTTCTAAACCTGTAATTAGGCGTCCCAAAAAACGCACATCTTCGGCGCTTGAATGGCCCTCGTAACTCGTTTAAACTTTTTGTGCGAGAACTGATGCAAAAACCGTCTAAAAACTTTTAACCTTGTTCTGTTTCTGTGTTACTTGGGTTAGCCGTGTCAACAACTGAGGTAGATCGAGCGTCGTTGATTATCTCTTGCCCTACAACGCAATTTGTTCAGGCGATCCCCATGATAAACGCCGACGACGACACGAATGTACAAGTTTCTGGAAGCTTGATTTCCGCCTAAGTGAGGCGAAAAATATTTTCCTCCCTCCGTCGCCTACCCCCCATCCGTCTTTTCTTCTGTGCTTGCAGTCATTTCGGGCAAGTTGCTTTAAACGGAAATCTGTCGACCACAATTATCACTGACCAGTTAGTCTATTGATGGAAACAAAGGGGTTCGATAGTGCTGATAAGCTATCACTGACATCGTCTGCCCTACGGACATGGAAGGGTGATGTACTGTGAAGCAGACTGTCTTGACCTAGTGTTTTTCATCACTCATGGGCAACCCTGATTACTATTTTTTACTCAATCTGCTAACATTGGCGAATTACTGCTGAATATAGGCGTTTTGCTTCACATGTTCTACACTTAAAGCAAAATAAAGAAGAGTACCCACGAATTTCGT